TTAAATTACCAAGGGTGGGACAGCTATTTGTATTAAAAATAAACTAAAATGTGAAAGAATTTCTATAAACTTCACTAAAATGGAGGGCACTGTGGCCAAGGTAAGGGACATAAATGGAAGGAATATTATCTTCATGTCACTTTACCAACGGCCTCGAGGATTAAACTTATTAGACTTAGAAACCATTAGCGGAGTAATAGCGGCAAATGAAGCAGTTATTGGGAAAGACCTAAACGCAAAACATATAGAATGGGGTGGTAATGAAACTAATGCTAGTGGTAGATTATTAAGGGAATGGCTAGAAAATAATCCAAGCTTAAGTATTAGAGCAACAAATGAACCAACCAGAATATGTGAGACTACGAAATCATACATAGATATATTCATGTCAACACCAGGGCTATGGATCCAGGATAGACCAAAAACTTTAGACTTCGAGTCTGACCACAGAGCCATAATGTTACAATTATCGGCAGTAACAGAAAATCAACAGATAAATAAAATTGTTGATTACAATAGCCTAAATACAAGACTATTTATCAACACTCTAACTAGGCAGCTACAAAACTTAACACTTCCTATTGATATGAACATTAATAGGGAGCAAATAGACACAGCAATAGAAACATTGACAGATGCAATAAATATAGCAATGGAAACGGCTATGACTCAATTCGTCCCATCTGGAGACACTTTATCAAAACTTCCGCATGATATTTTGCATTTAATTGCCCAAAAAAAGACAACTCGAAGGAGACTTCACAGAATAGTTGAGTCACAGGAAGCAATGACGCTGAAAGCAGTTATGAAGACCATGAGCCAATTGATTGGACAAAAAATAAAGCTATTTGAGCAACAAAAATTAGTTGAAAAAACTAGAAAAAATAAAGCCGAATAATGATATGTTCAAACAAATAAAAGGGCTAAGTGGGAAACTATATACAAATAAAGTAGACTACCTAGATGGAAGACAAATAACTTCAGAGACGGACAAGGCTAAAGTCATGGCAAAATCATTCGCTAATATCCAAAGCTCTAATTCATGTAATATAATTACGCCAGATTTAATTGTTTCAAATGAGCCCATGACGCAGTTTGGAATAAATTATCTGGCAGATGGATGAAATCTGAATTCCAACAATAGTCTACCTATAAGACTCACTAATTCAAATGAAATAGGAAATATTTTAAAATACATGAATAATAAAAAGTCGACAGGAGACGACAAGATCCCAAATTACATTTTAAGAAAGCTGGACCATAGGACTTGTACGATAATAGCCATATTGTTTAACCAATGCCTAAACATTGGCTATTACCAAAGGAAATGGAAAACTTCAAAAGTTATCCCTATCATAAAACCACGAAAAGATCCCACAAAAGCTTCAAATTATAGACCAATTTCGCTATTATCCTGCTTAGGTAAATTATTTGAAATAATAATATTAGACAGATTGAATGAACATATTATGAATGATAATATTCTGAAAGCCAATCAATTTGGCTTTCGAAAGCAACACATGCACTCTTATCCCTTAAACATATGAGGCGTGATATTGTCCAATACTGAAAAATTAAAGTATCTGAAGAAGATATGAGTTACATCAGGCATGTAGACTTAGTAAATAAAAAGCGAAGGATGGCTTATCAAGGCTATCAATGGCTATTAGGCAAAAAAAGAGGATTAAGTACTAAAATTAAACTACAGTTAGTTAGACCAACAATGAGTACGCCTTCCCTGTGTGGGCATTTATACCTTCTCATCAAAAGGAGAGGATTAGAATTTTTGAAAGAAAAATATTAGCCACTGCCTTGGTCTGGGCAGACAGCTCTCAGAGCAGCGATATTACAAAAGCCCATCAATTAAATAAAATTATAAATTAAGCAAAATGGATAGATTCGATAGGTTCACTGTAAAAATTGCAACAGAATTTCTAAAAAAAAATGCATAAGTCACAGCAATCACTTAGTAACAAATTTAACAATAAGTAACGAAGATTTTATAAGACTTAAAGAATCAAATAAATACCTCCCACCTCTGAGTTTATTACATTTGCATAACTCTGGTGGATTATATAATACAACAGGACAGCTAATGTTCTACCATAGACGACATAAATCATATAATATCAATGATATAGTATATCGTTATGACCAATAAAATAAAAATATATGTCAATTAAAAACTGTACATATTTGATTCTTATTTTGTTTATTTGTTATCTTAGTTTTAAGTATTCGTATAACTTGTGTTTTCCCATTTTCACAAGAAAAATAAATAAAAAACTATAATTAAAAAACTTAATATTGAACGGGCTGGCCTTCCACGTAGCTTATTCCATACTTTAATTAAAATTAAAAAATCTAGATACGTGTGAAAACACGTTAGATATAAGATATATAGAAATACGACTAGAATAAGAAATAAATGTAAATGAATTTTTTGGGAAATAAATAAATTGCTAAACAAAATGGCAGGCAACGTTAAACAACTAGCCACCAAAGCTGCTCGTAAGAGCGCCCCAGCCACCGGCGGTGTTAAGAAGCCTCATCGTTTCCGTCTGGTACAGTTGCTTTGCGTGAAATCCATCGTTACCAGAAGAGTACTGAGTTGTTGATCCGCAAATTGCCCTTCCAACGTTTGGTTCGTGAAATCGCTCAAGATTTCAAAACTGACTTGCGTTTCCAGAGCTCTGCTGTTATGGCCTTGCAAGAAGCCAGTGAAGCCTACTTGGTTGGTCTTTTCGAAAATACTAACTTGTGCGCCATCCATGCTAAGCGTGTCACCATCATGCCTAAGGATATCCAATTGGCCAGACGTATTCCTGGAGAACGAGCTTAAATTCTTGACGTTTTAAAAGCAACAATTTTACAACAAAACAATCGGTCCTTTTCAGGACCACAAATATTTTACAAAAAAGAGATAATTTTTACTCAATCTACAATTTTTAGTATTTTTTTTTTTTTGAAATAAATAAAAATAGTTTAGGGCTTTGATTATTTTTTTCAACAATTATTAACATTTTTTAAAATAAAGACGTATTCCTGGAGAACGAGCTTAAATTCTTGACGTTTTAAAAGCAACAATTTTACAACAAAACAATCGGTCCTTTTCAGGACCACAAATATTTTACAAAAAAGAGATAATTTTTACTCAATCTACAATTTTTAGTATTTTTTTTTTTTGAAATAAATAAAAATAGTTTAGGGCTTTGATTATTTTTTTCAACAATTATTAACATTTTTTAAAATAAAGATATATTTTTTGATGTTGTTTTTTTTTTCGTTGATGATTTTTCGACACTTTATTTTTTTATAATTTTTTTGATTAATTTTAATTTCTTTTCTTAATTTTATTTAAAATTTTTCTTATTTATTTTTTTTTTTTCAGGAATGATGTATGAAATATATATTTTTTTCTTTTTCAGCAAAATTTTTTAATTGTTTTTACGCATTTTAAAACATTTGAGTATAAATTTTCTCCGTATGGAATCACAAAATTATTTTTGCATTTAGAGAAATTGGTATTAATTTATTATTTTCAAAAATTGAACAAGAAAATAATTGATTGGTTGAGAATTTTGATGTAAAATATAATTAAAAGTATTATAAAAAGAAGTGCCAATAATATCTGCATTTTTATAAAACGCAATTAATTTCATGACATTTCCAAGTGTTCTGGGTGATATTTGGCTGTAAAGAGGAATTTCTTTTTGGGAATATTTTTTAAAGAAATTAAAAAAATATTGACAAAATAACGTAGAAAATTGCTTTTAAAAAAAATTAAGAACAAAATATGTTAAATTTCATAAAAAAAATATTGCAAAATTAAATACATAACCGTTTGTCACTGAAAGCCTGTACATTGGTAGTATGAAGTATTCTGGGGATTTTGTAACTTTTCCCCGTAAATTATGACTTTTTGTGAATAATGTTATATTTTGATGTAAATATACAAATTCCGAAATGTTTTTTAAGAAATTTTTATAAAACTTATTAAGATTTGAGCTTTCAAATTTATTTCAAGAAAAACTTTTTTTCATTGAAATTATGCCAACAAGAGGATTTCTGCTGCCATAGACCACATAATAATTTCAATTTTTTCACATAGTAAAATATCAAATTCCATCGATATTTTTCTTTGATCCTAAAGTAAACATATCAGGCAATATTTTCAAAAAGAAGTTTAAATTAATTTTTCATAAAAAAATTGATTTTTTAAATTTTAGTTGGAAATTTGTGATCACATTTTTATAATCACATTTTTATAATTCACAAACGGCAAGTGATAATTACACCAAACATTCTTTAAAACATAGCCTGAAATCTATACTTTAAAGGTATAAAACATTTTTAGTGAAAATTATCAAAGCTTCTTCAGGAAAATTTAATTTCTCCGAAAACTTTTGTAAAAAATTAAACACGCCTCCACACAATCTTTCCAAAAATTTACCAATTGACTACTACACTTTAGCCCGCCGCTAACAAAATAATAGTACACATAAATTTGTGAGTGTATTTGTGTTAACAGTGAAATATAAACCAAACAGTGAATGACCATGTCTGACGCCGCCGTTGTTGAAGCCACCGCCTCCCCAGTTGCCGCTGTTGGGAAAAAAGGCACCAAAAAAGCCGCTGCCAGAGCAAAGAAGTCATAAGCCTCTCTCCAACCCAGCAAATGGTTGATGCCGCCATCAAGACCCGGAAGGAACGTGGAGGTTCATCATTGCCCGCCATCAAGAAATACTTGGCCAGCACCTACAAAGTAGATGCCCAAAAATTGGCCCCCTTCATCAAGAAGTACTTGAAAGGTGCCGTTGTCAGTGGAAAATTGATCCAAGGTAAAGGTAAGGGTGCTTCTGGTTCATTCAAATTGTCTGCTTCGGCCTCCAAGGAACTCAAAGCCAAGACTGCTGAAAGAAGAAGAAGGCCCCAGCCTCTGGTGACAAAAAGAAACAGTCTGCCGCCCCATAAAAGGCTGCTGGTGAGAAAAAGGCAGCTGCCAAAAAACCCTCTGCCGCCAAGAAGACCGCTGAAAAGAAGAAGACCGACAAAACAAAGGTAAAGGCTGCCAAGAAAACCGGTACAGTTAAAGCTAAACCAGCAAAGACCGCCGCCAAAGCATCTGCCACTAAACCAAAGGCACCCAAGGCAAAAACTGCAGCTGCTAAGCCCAAAAAGGCCACAGCAGCAAAGAAGCCAGCTGCTAAGAAAACCGCCGCCAAGAAGTAATTTTTCCCAGAAAGATTAATTTTTCCACAATATTTTCGATATTCGAAAACATACTATCTAAAAGCCCTTTTCAGGGCTACAAATTAAATTAAAAAAGAGAAAAATATTTATGTTCAACATCTATCGTATATATTAATTACCTAAATACATAAAAAATACTATCGCTAGTTACTGTTCTTATTAGGTAATTTTATTGAGCCAATATAATCGTGGACGCCACTGAATTATTTCTTAACCCAGGTCATAAAAGATAATAAAATATTTAAAATTTTTCCTAATTACCCACAGGTCATAATTCTCGAAAATCCCCATAATTTGGTCATTTTTATAATTTCTACTTAATTTTGAAAAATTTGCCATTTTCATATTCTTTGTCAAATTTCACAAATTTCATCCAAAAATGACATTTTGGCAAAATATTAACATTTTCCATCAATACATATTTTCCTTTGAAAGTTTCTGCCTCAGCCTTATATTTCGTTGCTTTGCCGTTGTGCTGAAATAAAATGCTCACACATACATGATGCCCATTCGATGTTGATCAACGACGGCAAGGCAAAACATCACTAACACACGCACACATATACGACGACGATGGCTGTTATAGCATATCGCACAAGCAAGCATAGAACCCAAGCAAGCAAATGCTAAACATGGGTACATAAGCGAGATAGCTAAATGCATGAAATAATCTTTGTATAGAGAAAAATATATATCCTATGGAATTTTATTTGTTTATTACTAAATATCAGCAAATAAGGGGTTTCAACAAAAATATGATCTCTCTTGAAATGTTTTTTTTGGCCCTGAAAAGGGCCTCTTAAGGTAGTATTTCGAAGCAAAATGAAAAATATCAAGATATTTACTTGGAGCTGGTGTATTTAGTAACAGCCTTGGTCCCTTCACTGACGGCGTACTTAGCCAATTCACCGGGCAACAATAGACGGAGGGCGGTCTGGATTTTCCGACTAGTGATGATTGAGAGCTTGTTGTTCTGCGCCAAACGAGAGGCTTCGGCGGCAATACGTTCGAAGATATCGTTGACGAAACTGTTCATGACACTCATGGCCTTGGAGGATATACCGGTGTCGGGATGGACTTGCTTCAACAGTTTTTAAATGTAGACAGCGTAACTCTCCTTACACTTGGTACGTCTCTTCGACTTATCGCCCTTGATAATGTTCTTTTGGGCTTTGCCGGCCTTTTTTGCTGCTTTACTACTGGTTTTAGGAGGCATTTCCACTTATCATTTATTTATTTATTTTATTTTTTGAATCACACAAATGATAAACAAAACGGCAAGCTATACAGAATTTGTAGATTGTAGTTGACAAGAATTTCAGGTAGTCACAACTGCTAGGCACACAGAAGCCAAACCACCCCATTATTGAAGAAATGTGTGTGTGAGAAAAGTATAAATAGCACATTGCGTCGGTCAATTTTTCATAAGCCAGATATTTTACTATTGGCAGAACATAAAATGTCACATAGGCATAAGCTGCAAGTTGAGGGATATGCACTTCGTGGACAATGTAGGGTAGACAAAAAGGGAGGTGGAACAGCCATTATGATAAGAAGTTCATATAAGTATGAAGAAATTACAATAAATACAGGTAACATAGAATCTTGTGCAATTAAATAATACAAGACAGAAGGCCTGCCTATAATATTTATATCTATGTATCTTGCTCCTAAAACTTCTTTTAGACCCTCCGGTCTCGATGAAATTTCAAACTTGGGTGCAAACAATGATATTGTCATTGAATGTGACCGAAATGCGAAACACAGAGACTGGGGAATAAGAATAAACAATGTAAATGGTTGTGAACTTAGGGATTGTCTATTATGTTGCCCCACATCAGTCCCTCAAGGCTCAATAGAGTTGAAGACTCTTACATAGATTTCTTCATCATAACACCTGGTGTTGTAAGAACAGAACATGGTCTATTAGCAACGAAGGATTTTGAATCGGATCATAAGGCCGTCGAAATAATAATCAATATTAATAATATCCAAGCAAAAGAGATCATGACCCACTATGATTATGATAAAATTAATATAGAAAGGTATAAGGGAAGATTAGAAGCAAGATTATTAGAACATGAGTTGCCAATATATAGAAATGCAACAATATCAGAAATAGACATTTCCATAGAAAGACTAAATATCGTTTTTTAAAGAGACAATAGAAGAATGTGTCCCAAAAAAGTATGTAAGAATTATACCTTAGGAAAATTACCAAATAACATCATAAATCTAATGAAAGAAAGAAAAAGATTAAAGAAAATTTTAAAAAAGACACCAGACCCAGAGAGATATAATATAATTAGCGCTGATATTAGAAATCTCGGCACAATATTAAAAGAACTAATAACAAATTTCGAAAATAACAGGTACATATCGCATATAGGCAAAATAAAAGTAAACCCTACCACTTTTTCTAAAGTAAAAACTGCGGCAGGCCTATCTCTAAAGGGACCAATAAGTAGTCTATTCAACGATAGAGGTGATCCTATAAACAATAATGAGGAAAAAGCCAATTTATTTGCTAACCATCTCCAAAACATACAACAAATAAGGGAGGGTGAAACAAACTCCACCTTCCACAATTTTGTAGTTGAAGCTGTGGAGGGAATTGAGGAACATAATCTCCTGCTAAATTTTGGAGAAGAAATTGCAGCTGATGGCTCAATTATAGGGGATGAAGCTAAATGGAATGAGGGTTGATTTGTTAATCCTGCAGCAGTCTTAGATGCCATTAAAAAAAGATCGTCTAGAAAATCTAGTGGAATAGATGGAATTCCGGATATAGCCATAAAGAAAGCCGGAAGTGCAATATGCACTTTCCTGGTAATTCTATTTAACCAGGCTTTTAACCTTGGTTACTTTCCAAGAGAATGGAAAAAGGCCTTGGTAATACCAATTAAAACAAGTAAAAAAGCTTTAATATCGGCCGGGCCGAACTTTGAATACCCTCCACCATTTGGTACAAATTTAACAATTTTCAAAAAAATAAAATCCATTAAAAATCTGTTAAAATCTTGAAAATACCTAATGTAGCCGTATATTAGAGTCTACGACGATGTGGACATGCATAGGCAATTTTTGTCACAAGCTATTACAATATTGAAATGCGAAACTTGAAAAAAAAATCTGTTTATAATGCACAGGCAATTTTCTGTCATAGGCTGTAATATCGAACTTCACGAACTTTAAATGCGATATTTGAAACAATTCCGGTAAATATTGTCGCTAAAATCATGAACATACCGAAGATCGGGGGGTACCGTTATATGGGGGCTATACGAAGGCGTGGACCTGCACAGACAACTTTCTGTGATAGGCGGTAGCATCCATTATGAACTTCAAATGCAAAATGTGAAACAATTCCGGTAAATAATGCCGCTAAAATCATCAAAATACCGAATATCGGGAGGTACCGATATGTGGGGGCTATACGAAGACGTGGACCTACATGGCCCAGTTTCTGTCTTAAGCCGTAGTATTTATTATGAACTTTAAATATTAATTTTGAAACAATTCCCGTAAAAAATGTCGCTAGAATCATCAAAATACCGCATATCGGGAGGTACCGTTATATGGGGGCTATACAAAGACGTGGACCTACATGGCCCATTTTCAATACCAAAAGTCCTGCAGATATAGTACACATTTGAGAAAAATTTTATCAACCTACATCATTTCGTTCGGAAGCTAGAGTGATTTCCGCAGACGGACAGACGGACAGACATTGATAAATCGACATAGAATTTTATGCTGATCAAGAATTTATATACTTTGTGGGGTCTAAAATGTATATTTCGAGGTGTTACAAACGGAATGACAAACTTAATAACAAACGGAATGACAAACTTAATATACCTTCCATACTATGGTGGACGGTATAAAAACCGAATACAAATGGCAAATATTGTGAGGACTACAGACCCATTTCTCTCCTGTCCCCATTTAGTAAACTTTTGGAATATTTTATTCTTGAAAGAATTAAAAACACCATTGAAGAGCACAAAATATTAAGAGATTGTCAATTTGGCTTTAGACCACAGCATTGTACTTCTCATGCTCTTGTAGCATTCACTAATTATGTTACAGATGGGTACAGGAGAAAAATGGGTACCATGGCAGTGGAACTAGACTTTAAAAAAGCCTTTGATAAAGTGTGGCAAAAGGGTATACTCTATAAATTGCAATCCTTTGGTTTTGAAAGGCAAACCTGTAGGATGGTAGCAGACTTCCTAAAGGATAGGTATTTCAGGATTAAAGTTGGTGAGGATATGTCTGAACAACGCCCGGTTTTTTCAGGTGTCCCACAGGGATCACTTTTGGGGCCGGTGTTGTATAATATATTCTTCAGCGATATTCCTGGGCAATTAGAAGGGGGTCTGTTATTAACATATGCAGATGACGTCATTATAGCAATGAGCGGACGTTATGCACATACCGTTGAGAGGAAAATAAATAAGTATCTCGAAAAGCTATGTGAATATTTTAAAAAATGGGAACTAAAATTGAATGTCACAAAATGCCTTGCTACAATATTGAGTGGTAAAACTAGAGAAAGCTACCCCAGCTTTAGAATACACATACCCAATGTTAAAATTGATGGTCAAATTATAGGACATTCAGATAAAATTAAGTATTTAGGGGTTGTATTTAACAAAAATTTTGACTTTTGCAGGCATGTAGACCATGTTCTTGTTAAAGCAAAAAAAAAATTACTTCATGTATCAAAAGATATTTAGGATGAGAGGAGGTCTTACTACAGACATTAAACTATCACTGTACAGACAGGCCCACAATTGGGTATGCCTTTCCGTCTTGGGCTGACGTCTCCGCAGCACAGATGGAAAGGTTACGTAGATTTGAAAGAAAGGCTATAAGTGCAGCTGTTGGACTAAGAGCCGACATAAATAGCCAGGGTGAAATTAGAAGGCCATCGAATAGGAACATTTACAATGCCATAAACTTTGGCAGAATAGATGTTTTTATGATGGAGATGGCACTTATATTTCTTGAGAAATGTAGAGAAGGTGAAAGCTTTATAGTGCAAAACTTCATTAACAACGAAGAAGACTTAGAGGTACTTCGTACTAGAAAGCATCTACCACCAGTTGCACTATTTAAATTAAAAGAGGCTGGTATCCTTTATCAAAATGACAAATAAATATATTATCATAGAATATATTCAAGATTTGATGCTAGTACTGACACTGTATATAATATGGAGCAGTAAAACAAAATTTGTATATATTGTATATAGTTATTTGTAAGTATTTAGAATAAGAAATATGTATAAGTTTAGTTATAAGATTTTATATAATATTTAATAAACTTTTAAAAAATGGCCTTTTTTGAACTTTTTGGGCATAAAACAATACAAATGTGATCAAAATAAATTTAAAAAAATAAAATTTAAAGTGTACCACAAAATGAATGTAAATACCGTAGATTCAAGTGCCCCTGAACACAACGAATATGTTTAATTACTATCTAAATATTACTTTAGTCATTTAAGTACACATTGTAACGATATGAATTAATAAATAAATGACAAATTGAAAAAAGTCGAAAAAAAAAAGCCGGTCAGTTTTTTATCATTTGTGTTTTTCAGTACTTAAGTGAAGTGTTCAAAACTAAAATAAAGTGAAAATGTCTGGTCGTGGTAAAGGTGGCAAAGTTAAGGGAAAGGCAAAGTCCCGTTCCAATCGTGCTGGTCTTCAATTCCCCGTCGATCGTATCCATTGTGCCGGTGCTCCCGTCTATTTAGCCGCTGCCATGGAATATTTGGCTGCTGAAGTCTTTTAATTGGCTGGCAATGCTGCCCGTGACAACAAGAAGACTCGTATCATTCCCCGTCACTTGCAATTGGCCATCCGTAACGACGAAGAATTGAACAAATAGCTGTCTGGCGTTACCATTGCCCAAGGTGGTGTATGGCCCAACATCCAAGCTGTTCTCTTGCCCAAGAAGACCGAAAAGAAATCCTAAATTATCTCGGAAGAAGGTATTATAGAATGAAGGAGAAGAAGAATACAGACCATCGTATAATTCCATACAAAACTTAACCAATCCGTCCTTTTGAGGACGACAAAAAATATTTCAAAAGAGAAAGAATGCCCTCAAACTACATTTGTATGAAAAAAAAATTCTCAATAATTTTCTATGAGACGTTGGCAGAATAACTGTTTTTCGTTCTCAGTTGCATATTTGTGTTGTTGTTGTCTCTTATGATTTCAGAAATAGAGCGAGAGAGAGATCGCGGCGTCACCAAATGAGTATGTATACTATGAAGAAGAAGAAGAAGGATGTGGCAGTTGGTGGTGGCTCGCAGTAGTTTTATGTGAAAAAATCTGTTCCCGGCGCATTCTTCGGGAAGGCATAAAGTAGATGATTTGCACGGGAATTTTGGCGGCAGAATAGTGTTGTGGTGGAAATAAATCGACGCATGCATGAAAATAAAAGTACATTGTGGTGCTATGGAAAATTTTTAGCATAAAAAATAGAATAAAAGTAACATAATGAAATTAAAATTAACCAAAATAATTACAAAGAAAAATAAAATAACGTAAATTAATAATTAAATTAAAATAAAATAAGAACGTTTTTAAAAATTAAGGCAAATATTAATGAAAATTTAGAGAAATTTATATGAAAATATTTGCAAATAAATTAAAGGAATTTAGAATAATAAATAGATTTTATGAAAATGAAGAATGCTTTTGACGAAATCGAAAATTTTTAAATTAATAATAAGGAAATAAATAAAATAATATTAAATAAAAGGAAATAGTGATTTTAAAAAATAATATAATGAAAAATTAAATACAAATTAATTGAAAATTGAATAAGATAATTTAACATAAATAAAATAAAGTTCATTTAATGAAGAATTTTTAAATTAAATTCAATTTTTAAATAAATTTTAAAGGAAATTATTAGTGAATAATTAACAATTTTTTAATGAAATTTTTTGAGATACTATGTATCAACGATCTATTTAATAAATATTTTCAACGACTTTAAATTAAATTTTGGAAAAAATTCATTTAAAAAAAGTCCAAAATCACAACGAAATTCCTTTATGCTGTACCATGCTGTGGCAACATGGTTGTTCTTAAGTAATATTGACTAAATAATACCAATACATACATAAAGCGACGCTTTGTTATACTCATATTATACGAAAAAGAAGAAGAGCAACTAAATGTGTTTAGCGATGTGAGTTGCCGACGGCATGTTTAAGATCGGGAATAAAATACGAGACATCAGTAAAACAATATTTTCGGTGAAAATATTATTGAGAAAATTGAAACGAGTAAGTATTTATATTTACATTTTTTACGAATTGTGAGAAAAAAAATACGAGAAAGCTGGAAATGAAATTTAAAAAAATTTTAAAATTTCTTTATTTCCTAAGATAAGTGTTTATTTTTTCTTTATTTTAATTAAAAAATAAATATCAACAAGATAGTATCTCTTTTTTGATATATTTTATGGTACTGAAAAGGGCCGATTGTTTTGTTGTAAAAAAATATTTCTCCAAATTGTGTCAAGAATTTTTTAACCGCCGAAACCGTACAAGGTACGGCCTTGTCTCTTCAAAGCATATACGACGTCCATAGCGGTGACTGTTTTACGCTTAGCATGTTCGGTGTAGGTGACAGCATCACGAATAATGTTTTCCAAAAACACCTTCAGAACACCACGAGTTTCTTCGTAAGTCAGGCCAGAAATACGTTTTACACCGCCACGACGAGCCAAACCTCTAATAGTTGGCTTGGTAATACCTTGGATGTTATCACGGAGCACTTTCCCGTTACGTTTAGCGCCACCTTTTCCCAAGCCTTTACCACCTTTACCACGACCAGTCATTTTTTCACTTTAGTTTATTTCACTTAACACTTCACGAACTGTTTGAGCACTAATGTTTATACAAAATTTGAGGCTCTCTCCAACTTTTGAACACACAAGTAAAGTATGTACAGTTATATGTGTGTGTGTACATTTGCCGTTAGTATTGTATGTTCTCTTTTGTGTGTGCGTGTACATTTGGTATACCGATAGGTAAGAATTCATTAGCATATCAACCCCGAAAGTTGATGCTAAAAGCACAGTTTTTAATAAGTATCCGCTATAGTCAGCCAGGCAACGTTATTACAGTGTTAACAGTGTTTGTGTGCATATCTCTAGTGAAGTGAAAAAATTCAAGTGAAAAATGGCTCGTACTAAGCAAATTGCCCGTAAATCGAGAGGTGGAAAGGCTCTCCGTAAACAACTAGCCACCAAAGCTTCCCGTAAGAGTGCCCCAGCCACCCCAGCGGTGTTAAGAAGCCTCATCGATTCCGTCCTGGTACAGTTGCTTTGCGTGGAATCTTTCGTTTCCAGAAGAGTACTGAATTGTTGATCCGCAAATTGTCCTTCCAACGTTTGAAGCCTACTTGGTTGGTCTTTTCGAAAATACTAACTTGTGCGCCATCCATGCCAAGCGTGTCACCATCATGCCTAAGGATATCCAATTGGCCAGACGTATTCGTGGAGAACGTGCTTAAATTCTTGACGTTTTAAAAGCAACAATTTTACAACAAAACTATCGGTCCTTTTCAGGACCACAAATACTTTACAAAAAAGATATATTTATTTACTCAATCTACAATTTTTAGTATTTTTTTGAAATAAATAAAAATAATTTGGCCTTTGATTATTTTTCAACAATTATTAACATTTTTTTAAAATAAAGATATATCTTTTGATGTTGTTTTTTTTCGTTGATGATTTTTCGACAGAATTTTTGTTTTTGATTTTGACTTTATTTTAATTTTTTTTAATTTTATTTTAATTTTTTCAACTATCCATATTGATAATTTCCTTTAATTTGCAAAATTATTATCATTTTTGTACTCCCTCTTGGAAAAAAAATGCTATGACTCATGAAAACAACCCCCACATACATTTTGCTAACGGGATTTCTTTGTCCATTTTGTTTTTTTTCCTTTTCCCGTTAAACAAAAAATTTCTCTCTTCTTGATTTTTGGCGCGAAATTTGTCTATTTCTCTCATTTTATGCCCCTTCGATCATTTTTTTCTGTTGTGGACTATTCAATTTAGCGGAAAAAATTTCTCTGCCATTAATTTCTACGAATTATTCATGTGAATTTTAAAAATTTCCAGCTAAAATGTTGCCCCATCTTTTTAATTTGTTTCAGGAATGATGTATGAAATATACTTTATTCTTTTTCAGCAAAATTTTGAAATGTTTTAAACGCCTTTTAAGAGATTTGAATATGATATTTCTCCGTATGGAATTAAATAATTAGTTTTGCCCGATGTATTTGAAGAAATTGCTAATAATTTATTATTTTTAAAAATTGAAGAAGAAAATAACTGGTTTGTTGAGAATTTTGATGTAAAATATAATTACAAGTATTATAAAAAGAAGTGCCAATAATATCTGCATTTTTATAAAACGCAATTAATTTCATGACATTTCCAAGTGTTCTAGGTGATATTTGCCTGTAAAGAGGAATTTCTTTTTGGGAATATTTTTTAAAGCAATTAAAAAAATATTGACAAAATAACGTAGAAAATTGCTTTTAACAATGCTTTTAAAAAAATTAAAAACAAAATATGTTAAATTTCATAAAAAAATATTGCAAAATTAAATACATAACCGTTTGTCACTGAATGCCTGTACATTGGTAGTATGAAGTATTCTGGGGATTTTGTAACTTTTCCCCGTAAATTATGACTTTTTGTGAATAATGTTATATATTGATGTAAATATACAAATTCCGAAATGTTTTTTAAGAAATTTTTATAAAACTTATTAAGATTTGAGCTTTCAAATTTATTTCAAGAAAAACTTTTTTTCATTGAAATTATGCCAACAAGAGGATTTCTGCTGCCATAGACCACATAATAATTTCAATTTTTTCACATAGTAAAATATCAAATTCCATCAATATTTTTCTTTGATCCTAAATTAAACATATCAGGCAATATTTTCAAACAGAAGTTTAAATTAATTTTTCATAAAAAGTTTGATTTTTTTAAATTTTAGTTGGAAATTTGTGATCACATTTTTATAATCACATTTTTATAATTCACAAACGGCAAGTGATAATTACACCAAACATTCTTTAAAACATAGCCTGAAATCTATACTTTAAAGGTATAAAACATTTTTAGTGAAAATTATCAAAGCTTCTTCAGGAAAATTTAATTTCTCCGAAAACTTTTGTAAAAAACTAAACACGCCTCTACACAATCTTTCCAAAAATTTACCAATTGACTACTACACTTTAGCCCGCCGCTAACAAAAATAATAGTACACATAAATTTGTGAGTGTATTTGTGTTAACAGTGAAATATAAACCAAACAGTGAATGACCATGTCTGACGCCGCCGTTGTTGAAGCCACCGCCTCCCCAGTTGCCGCTGTTGGGAAAAAAGGCACCAAAAAAAGCCGCTGCCAGAGCAAAGAAGTCATCAGCCTCCCTCCAACCCAGCAAATGGTTGATGCCGCCATCAAGACCCTGAAGGAACGTGGAGGTTCATCATTGCCCGCCATCAAGAAATACTTGGCCAGCACCTACAAAGTAGATGCCCAAAAATTGGCCCCCTTCATCAAGAAGTACTTGAGAGGTGCCGTTGTCAGTGGAAAATTGATCCAAAGTAAAGGTAAGGTTGCTTCTGGTTCATTCAAATTGTCTGCTTCGGCCTCCAAGGAACTCAAAGCCAAGACTGCTGAAAGAAGAAGAAGGCCCCAGCCTCTGGTGACAAAAAGAAGAAGTCTGCCGCCCCAAAAAAAGGCCGCTGGTGAGAAAAAGGCAGCTGCCAAAAAACTCTCTGCCGCCAAGAAGACCGCTGAAAAGAAGAAGGCCGACAAAACAAAGGTAAATCCTGCCGAGAAAACCGGTACAGTTAAAGCTAAACCAGCAAAGACCGCCGCCAAAGCATCTGCCACTAAACCAAAGGCACCCAAGGCAAAAACTGCAGCTGCTAAGCCCAAAAAGGCCGCAGTAGCAAAGAAGCCAGCTGCTAAGAAAACCGCCGCCACGAAGTAATTTTTCCCAGAAAGATTACTTTTTCCACAATATTTTCGATATTCGAAAACATACTATCTAAAAGCCCTTTTCAGGGCTACAAATTAAATTAAAAAAGAGAAAAATATTTATGTTCAACATCTATCATATATATTAATTACCTAAATACATAAAAAATACTATCGCTAATTACTGTTCTTATTAGGTAATTTTATTGAGCCAATATCATCGTGGAAGCCACTGAATTATTTTTTAACCCAGGTCATAAAAGATAATAATTCGTTTTTATAATTTCTACATTTTTATAATTTCTACTTAATTTTGAAAAAATTGCCAGTTTCATATTCTCTGTCAAATTTCAGAAAATTCATCCAAAAATGACATTTTGGCAAAATATTTACATTTTCCATCAATAAATTTTTAACTTTGAAAATTTCTGCCTCAGCATTATATTTCGTTGCTTTGCCGTTGTGCAGAAACAAAATGCTCACACATACATGATGCCCATTCGATGTTGATCAACGATGGCAAGGCAAATCACAACTAACACACGCACACATATACGATGACGATGGCTGTTATAGCATATCGCACAAGCAAGCATAGAACCCAAGCAAGCAAAGGCTAAACAGAGGTACATATGCGAGTTAGCTAAATGCATGAAAAAATCACTGTATAGAGAAAAATATATTTCCTATGGAATTTTATTCGTTTATTACTAAATATCAGCAAATAAGGGGTTTCAACAAAAATATGATCTCTTTTGACCCTGAAAAGGGCATTTTAAGGTAGTATTTCGACGCAAAATGAAAAATATCAAGACATTTACTTTACTATTTAAAAAAAGATCGTCTAGAAAATCTAGTGGAATAGATGGAATTCCGGATATAGCCATAAAGAAAGCCGGAAGTGCAATATGCACTTTCCTGGTAATTCTATTTAACCAGGCTTTTAACCTTGGTTACTTTCCAAGAGAATGGAAAAAGGCCTTGGTAATACCAATTAAAACAAGTAAAAAAGCTGTAATATCGGCCGGGCCGAACTTTGAGTACCCTCCACCAATTGGTACAAATTTAACAATTTTCAAAAAAATAAAATCCATTAAAAATCTGTTAAAATCTTGAAAATACCTAATGTAGCCGTATATTAGAGTCTATACGACGATGTGGACATGCATAGGCAATTTTTGTCGCAAGCTATTACAATATTGAAATGCGAAACTTGAAAAAAAAAACTGTTTATAATGCACAGGCAATTTTCTGTCATAGGCTGTAATATCGAACTTCACGAACTTTAAATGCGATATTTGAAACAATTCCGGTAAATATTGTCGCTAAAATTATGAACATACCGAAGATCGGGGGTACCGTTATATGGGGGCTATACGAAGGCGTGGACCTGCACAGACAACTTTCTGTGATAGGCTGTAGCATCCATTATGAACTTCAAATGCAAAATGTGAAACAATTCCGGTAAATAATGCCGCTAAAATCATCAAAATACCGAATATCGGGAGGTACCGATATGTGGGGGCTATACGAAGACGTGGACCTACATGGCCCATTTTCAACACCAAAAATCCTGCAGACATAGTACATATTTGAGTAAAATTTTATCAACCTACATCATTTCGTTCGGAAGCTAGAGTGATTTCCGCAGACGGACAGACATTAATAAATCGACATAGAATTTTATGCTGATCAAGAATTTATATACTTTGTGGGGTCTAAAATGTATATTTCGAGGTGTTACAAACGGAATGACAAACTTAATATACCTTCCATACTATGGTGGACGGTATAAAAACCGAATACAAATGACAAATATTGTGAGGACTATAGACCCATTTCTCTCCTTTCCCCATTTAGTAAACTTTTTGAATATTTTATTCTTGAAAGAATTAAAAACACCATTGAAGAGCACAAAATATTAAGAGATTGTCAATTTGGCTTTAGACCACAGCATTGTACTTCTCATGCTCTTGTAGCATTCACTAATTATGTTACAGATGGGTACAGGAGAAAAATGGGTACCATGGCAGTGGAACTAGACTTTAAAAAAGCCTTTGATAAAGTGTGGCAAAAGGGTATACTCTATAAATTGCAATCCTTTGGTTTTGAAAGGCAAACCTGTAGGATGGTAGCAGACTTCCTAAAGGATAGGCATTTCAGGATTAAAGTTAGTGAGGATATGTCTGAACAACGCCCGGTTTCTTCAGGTGTCCCACAGGGATCACTTTTGGGGCCGGTGTTGTATAATATATTCTTCATCGATATTCCTGGGCAATTAGAAGGGGGTCTGTTATTAACATATGCAGATGACGTCATTATAGCAATGAGCGGACGTTATGCACATACCGTTGAGAGGAAAATAAATAAGTATCTCGAAAAGCTATATGAATATTTTAAAAAATGGGAACTAAAATTGAATGCCACAAAATGCCTTGCTACAATATTGAGTGGTAAAACTAGAGAAAGCTACCCCAGCTTTAGAATACACATACCCAATGTTAAAATTGATGGTCAAATTATAGGACATTCAGATAAAATTAAGTATTTAGGGGTTGTATTTAACAAAAATTTTGACTTTTGCAGGCATGTAGACCATGTTCTTGTTAAAGCAAAAAAAAAATTACTTCATGTATCAAAAGATATTTAGGATGAGATGAGGTCTTACTACAGACATTAAACTATCACTGTACAGACAGGCCCACAATTGGGTATGCCTTTCCGTCTTGGGCTGACGTCTCCGCAGCACAGATGGAAAGGTTAAGTAGATTTGAAAGAAAGGCTATAAGTGCAGCTGTTGGACTAAGAGCCGACATAAATAGCCAGGGTGAAATTAGAAGGCCATCGAATAGGAACATTTACAATGCCATAAACTTTGGCAGAATAGATGTTTTTATGATGGAGATGGCACTTATATTTCATGAGAAATGTAGAGAAGGTGAAAGCTTTATAGTGCAAAACGTCATTAACAACGAAGAAGACTTAGAGGTACTTCGTACTAGAAAGCATCTACCATCAGTTGCACTATTTAAATTAAAAGAGGCTGGTATCCTTTATCAAAATGACAAATAAATATATTATCATAGAATATATTCAAGATTTGATGCTAGTACTGACACTGTATACAATATGGAGCAGTAAATCAAAATTTGTATATATTGTATATAGTTATTTGTAAGTATTTAGAATAAGAAATATGTATAAGTTTAGTTATAAGATTTTTATATAATATTTAATAAACTTTTAAAAAATGGCCTTTTTTGAACTTTTTGGGCATAAAACAATACAAATGTGATCAAAATAAATTTAAAAAAATAAAATTTAAAGTGTAACACAAAATGAATGTAAATACCGTAGATTCAAGTGCCCCTGAACACAACGAATATGTTTAATTACTATCTAAATATTACTTTAGTCATTTAAGTACACATTGTAACGATATGAATTAATAAATAAATGACAAATTGAAAAAAGTCGAAAAAAAAGCCGGTCAGTTTTTTATCATTTGTGTTTTTCAGTACTTAAGTGAAATGTTCAAAACTAAAATAAAGTGAAAATGTCTGGTCGTGGTAAAGGTGGCAAAGTTAAGGGAAAGGCAAAGTCCCGTTCCAATCGTGCTGGTCTTCAATTCCTCGTCGGTCGTATCCATTGTGCCGGTGCTCCCGTCTATTTAGCCGCTGCCATGGAATATTTGGCTGCTGAAGTCTTGGAATTGGCTGGCAATGCTGCCCGTGACAACAAGAAGACTCGTATCATTCCCCATCACTTGCAATTGGCCATCAGTAACGACGAAGAATTGAACAAATTGCTGTCTGGCGTTACCATTGCCCAAGGTGGTGTATTGCCAAACATCCAAGCTGTTCTCTTGCCCAAGAAGACCGAAAAGAAAGCCTAAATTATCTCGAAAGAAGGTATTATAGAATGAAGGAGAAGAAGAATACAGACCATCGTATAATTCCATACAAAGCTTAACCAATTGAGGACGACAAAAAATATTTCAAAAGAGAAAGAATGCCCTCAAACTACATTTGTATGAAAAAAAAAATTCTCAATAATTTTCTATGAGACGTTGGCAGAATAACTGTTTTTCGTTCTCAGTCGCATATTTGTGTTGTTGTTGTCTCTTATGATTTCAGAAATAGAGCGAGAGAGAGATCGCGGCGTCACCAAATGAGTATGTATACTATGAAGAAGAAGAAGAAGGATGTGGCAGTTGGTGGTGGCTCGCAGTAGTTTTATGTGAAAAAATCTGTTCCCGGCGCATTCTTCGGGAAGGCATAAAGTAGATGATTTGCAAGGGAATTTTGGCGGCAGAATAGTGTTGTGGTGGAAATAAATCGACGCATGCATGAAAATAAAAGTACATTGTGGTGCTATGGAAAATTTTTAGCATAAAAAATAGAATAAAAGTAACATATTGAAATTAAAATTAACCAAAATAATTACAAAGAAAAATAAAATAACGTAAATTAATAATTAAAATAAAATAAGAACGTTTTTAAAAATTAAGGCAAATATTAATGAAAATTTAGAGAAATTTATATGAAAATATTTGCAAAAAAATTAAAGGAATTTAGAATAATAAATAGATTTTATGAAAATGAAGAATGCTTTTGACGAAATCGAAAATTTTTAAATTAATAATAAGGAAATAATATTAAATAAAAGGAAATAGTGATTTTAAAAAATAATATAATGAAAAATTAAATACAAATTAATTGAAAATTGAATAAGATAATTTAACATAAATAAAATAAAGTTCATTTAATGAAGAATTTTTAATTAAAATTCAATTTTTAAATAAATTTTCGGCAAAATTTTAAAGGAAATTATTAGTGAACAATTAACAAATTTTTAATGAAATTTTTTGAGATACTTTGTATCAACGATCTATTTAATAAATATTTTCAACGACTTTAAATTAAATTTTGGAAAAAAAAAATCATTTAAAAAAAGTCCAAAATCACAACGAAATTCCTTTATGCTGTACCATGCTGTGGCAACATGGTTGTTCTTAAGTAATATTGACTAAATAATACCAATACATACATAAAGCGACGCTTTGTTATACTCATATTATACGAAAAAGAAGAAGAAGAACTAAATGTGTTTAGCGATGTGAGTTGCCGACGGCATGTTTAAGATCGGGAATAAAATACGAGACATCAGTAAAACAATGTTTTCGGTGAAAATATTATTGAGAAAATTGAAACGAGTAAGTATTTATATTTACATTTTTTACGAATTGTGAGAAAAAAAATACGAGAAAGTTTTCTTTATTTCCTAAGGTAAGTGTTTATTTTTTCTTTATTTTAATTAAAAAATAGATATCAACAAGATAGTATCTCTTTTTTGATGTATTTTGTGGTACTGAAAAGGGCAGATTGTTTTGTTGTAAAAAAATATTTCTCCAAATTGTGTCAAGAATTTTTTAACCGCCGAAACCGTATCGTAAGTCAGGCCAGAAATACGTTTTACACCGCCACGACGAGCCAAACCTCTAATAGCTGGTTTGGTAATACCTTGGATGTTATCACGGAGCACTTTCCTGTGACGTTTAGCGCCACATTTTCCCAAGCCTTTACCACGACCAGTCATTTTTTCACTTTAGTTTATTTCACTTATCACTTCAAGAACATTTTAGGACTAATGTTGTTTCCGTTTTTTTTTTTCGCTTTTTGCCTCAAGGCCATATTTATTGATTAGAAATCTTAAAACTATACAGCATGACTTACTACTAAACAACTATTAAATAAACTTATGGCTATTCGCTATATACTAAAGTATGGGTACTATTATACGCTGCAGAAAAATAGCATGCGACTCTCGTATTCTCTTAAATCTATATTATCATTCATAAAACGCCCCAAAAAAATCACATAAAAAGGGCTAAATTCAGGTTATATTAATGAAATACTTATGACTAGGGACTAAAACCTAAATATTATAACTATGGAACTAAAGATATATTTACAAATCTACTGTGTAGTTAAATATACAGTATCATCCAAATTCATGGTATTATACCTTCTGTGGTAGAATAACAAATCCTCTCCATTATACAATAGACCTTGGTCTAATAATATTACTAAGGAACCGGGAGGGAGATGTTTTTTAGAACGTATGGCCTCCGTGTCATACGAACAATGTAGGGAATCCTCAACCAAACTATTCTCCAGGTGTTGCGCTCCATTTATAAAATTCAGGGTCCCCCTCATGAGGAAACGATCAATACGTTCTATACTTGCCGCATCATATGTTGCCCTACATGATGGATTTCTAATAGTCCCATCCCATCTCACTGTCGGCCTCAGTCCCAAACAGTAGTTTAGGACAGATCTTTCCCATTTCCTAAGTCTCTCCATCTGACTCGAAGATATAAGAAACCAGATGGGAAAGGCGTAAGAGATAACAGGTCTGACTACTTGTCTATAAATGAGTAGTTTTATATTTTTAGACAGGCCACCACTGTGTTTAAGGACACCTTGGTAGGCAAAGTATATTTTCTTTGCTCTATCGAGTATGAAGTCAATATGTCTTATAAATTCAAACTTCTCGCATAAGATAACCCCTAAATACCTCATCTTATCCCTTACCTGTATGGTTTCCTCTCCTAATTTTAAAACAGGGTGGAAAGAGCGAAAATTTGGATAAGTTACACGTGGTTTGCCTCGAAATACTACCGCTGTGCATTTTCCAACATTCAGCTTAAGGCCCCACATAGAGAAATATCTATGAAGGTCCTCGAGCCAAGCGTTAAGTCTGGATGCCAGAGAGCTAGCCCTCGGACCAGACATAGCTAGGAAGACGTCGTCAGCATAAAGAAGAAGCAAGCCTCGCTCGGGGGGTTCAGGCATGACGCTTACAAAAATATTGTAGAGCATAGGAAGTGAGCCCTGTGGAACACCAGATCGGATCGGTCTTGTGGTCGAAAGATGATCGCCAACCTTCATCTTAAAGCTCCTGTCTCGGAGAAAGCTCGCTACTAGCCTACATGTAAGGGCATCGCATCCATACTGTTTTAATTTAAATAATATCCCGTCATGCCAAACAGAATCGAATGCCCTGGCGAAGTCAAGGCCTACAGCTATTGTTCCATATCTACGGTCAAACTCTTTTATGACAAAAGATGAAAGAACAGTTAGAGCATGGGAAGTCGAGTGTCCCGGTCTGAAGCCAAACTGACAGTCCTTTAGAATTCTTTTGTCTTCAACCAGTTTCTTAAGTCTCTTGAGCGCGAACGATTTATAGAGCTTACCAAATGCTGATAGCATAGAAATGGGACGGTAGCTACCACAGTCACGCGGTGGGGAACCCTTTTTAAGTATGGGAACAACCATCGCCTCCTTCCAGGCTTTTCGAAAGTATCCCAGATTTAGTGAGTGGTTAAAAAGAATAGAAAGGAAACGAAATAGAACTTCCCCTGCCTTTTTCAAGGCAGTGTCTGGTATCCTATCTGAACCACTTGACTTACGGGCTGGTCTGTTCGCAAGAGCCTTGCCGACGCAACTGGGTAAGACAAATCCAGCTTGCCTCCATCTATGAAAGTTATCAATAACTGAACCATCTGCTGTAAGAGAACTGGAAAAGGTTTCCACGGGAGACTGGTCATCCATTTCCCTCACAGAGTCAGTAACTAAACTGTGAAGAGTGGAATCGAAAGGTCTATCCGTAGAAACCAATGTGTTCTGCAAACGGTCGGCTAAGACCTCTGCTTTAAGCCTATCTTCGACGATGAGCGTTCCATCAGAGTCCAACAGTTCTCTTACAGGGTCTCGGTGCGAAAGACCTGCCGCGGCCTTGACTTTACCAAAGGTTCTGTTATCTATTGTAATGTCTTCTAGAAAGTTATGAAAGCGTTCTTGTTCAAAGATGCGAATAGAGTCTGCTATTATTCGGTCTAGGTTCCTAACATCCGCCTTTAGGATGTTTATACGCGAGGGATCTATAGACCTGCGTATGGAGCGGCAAATTCTTCTTCGTTCTTGCATGAACCTCATGATCCTTGGGGGAAGGTCACCTAGAGTATTATTTTTAGCTTTCATTTTAGGGACTGAAGCGTCAATAGCGTTTCTAAACACAATTTCTAGATTTTTAACCGTCGAATCGATCTCTTGCTGAGAAACATTTCTGTTCACAGGCAAACAGATTTCAGCAAGCCCCTGTCTTACTATTCCCTGGAAACGGTTTATATTAATTTTGTCAAAATTAAAAAAGGTTTTGGTTTCCCTTTTCCTAAATCCACCCAAGTCGAGGACTATTTCCAATGCCTTGCGGTCAGACTCCAAATCTAGGGTTGCAGATTTGTGTTGCCATCGATCAAAGCCAGTCCTGGAGTACGTATAAAAATATCGATAAATGAGCCCTGACCTTCGTTGGGTCTTGAGGGATGTTCAGAAGAAAATATATGAAGATTCGGACAATCAAGTAAGTACGAGGCGAGGGCTCTACCTCTGGTATTAGTTTCGATTCCTCCCCAGGAAGGGTGTTTGGCGTTAAGATCGCCTCCAATTATAACTTCACCCATTAAGCTTAGGTCGAATAGGGGTTGTAGGTCGGGAACTTGAAAGTTACTTTGGGGTCGACAATATAGAGGTGCTAAAAAAACAGTGGAACCATCTTCTTTGGAAGTTCGAATAATGCAAGATTCGATCTCACCAGTGGAGATGGCGATACGATCGCAGTGATAATTATCTTTGATAAACACCGCAGTACCGCCACCCCCACCAATCTCTCTGAATTGCAAAAAACATTTGAAGCCATTAAGAGTAAATCTATGAGTCGGCCGTAGCTTATGCTCGGCCACCAAGAGAACATCAGGGTTTCTTTCTTATGAAGTTCGTGAGGTAATGTCGCTTGGATAAAGAGACAAGTGAGTTGACATTTAAAAATACAACTTTAAAATTGGACATCCCCAGCTATACAGAGAAGACATGCGGACATTGCCGCATCTAAACCAGCTTTATTTTA